TAAACCTGAGTTTTGTTTTTTTTTTCTTTTTTTTCTCCCGACGTTTTCAGGGTTCTGTACTCCCGGCATTTCTTCCCTGACGCCTCAGGTTTCTTTCATTTGTGTTTCTGCCTGCATTCTTTTGCTTTTTCCTTCACACACTTGGGGTTGTTGTTTTTTTTTTTTGCATGTCAGCATGTGTGTTCTAACGTGGGTGCGAGTGACCCGGCTCATCGCTTCATGCTAATTGACTTCTTTTTTTAATGACCTTTTCCTCCCAGATCATGTTTGAGACCTTCAACACCCCGGCCATGTACGTGGCTATCCAGGCTGTGCTGTCCCTGTACGCCTCTGGTCGTACCACTGGTATTGTTATGGACTCCGGGGACGGTGTCACCCACACCGTGCCCATCTACGAGGGTTATGCTCTGCCCCACGCCATCCTCCGCCTGGACTTGGCTGGCCGTGACCTGACAGACTACCTCATGAAGATCCTGACAGAAAGAGGCTACAGCTTCACCACCACAGCCGAAAGGGAAATTGTCCGTGACATTAAAGAAAAGCTGTGCTACGTCGCCCTGGACTTCGAGCAGGAGATGGCCACCGCTGCCTCCTCCTCCTCCCTGGAGAAGAGCTACGAGCTGCCCGATGGCCAAGTGATCACCATCGGCAACGAGAGGTTCAGGTGTCCAGAAGCCCTCTTCCAGCCCTCCTTCCTGGGTAGGTGTGGGCCAGGGCGGTCGCCTCTGTGGTGCGTGGGGTTGGCGTGAGCCGAAGGAGGAGCCACCGTGGTGGTGGGTGTTTAACGATCCCGATGCCTCTCCTCCCCAGGCATGGAGTCCTGCGGTATTCACGAGACCACTTTCAACTCCATCATGAAGTGTGACGTGGACATCAGGAAGGACCTGTATGCCAACACGGTGCTGTCCGGAGGCACCACCATGTACCCCGGCATCGCCGACAGGATGCAGAAGGAGATCACAGCCCTGGCGCCCAGCACGATGAAGATCAAGGTAAGAAACCCGCTCCCAGGCCCTGCTGCGGGCGGCAGGGGGGGAGGTGGGGGAAGAGCAGCCCACCCTAACCGCTGCCTCTGCTCTCCTCCTGCAGATCATCGCCCCTCCTGAGCGCAAGTACTCGGTCTGGATCGGCGGCTCCATCCTGGCGTCGCTCTCCACCTTCCAGCAGATGTGGATCAGCAAGCAGGAGTACGACGAGTCCGGCCCCTCCATCGTCCACCGTAAATGCTTCTAAACCTGGACTGCTGGCAGGGGCCCGTGCCCGCTGCTCGAGTTGTCTCACTTTAGTATATGTTTGCCCAGGCAAATCTATACACCTCATGCTAGCCTCATAAAACTGGAATAAGCCTTTCAACAGAAAACTTTGCCCTTGGAAAAGTCCGTACCTGATGTTAGACAAATGTCAGCACTGGATGGGCCAGCTCTCACTTGATTGATTTTTTTTTTTTCCTGTTTTTGACCTTGTTTATTTGAGTTTAAGCGTCCCCTTGGCGTCTGCCCGAGCCAAATACCCTGTACCCACCGGCTCCCGGCCGTGGGGCCGGCGTGGCTCCGACACTGACAGCGGCCCGGCGCGTACAGGGTATTGAGTCCATCCAGTGTGGAATATTCCAGATATTTCCTGTAGAGGCTGGTAGGAGTCCATGGAGAATTCACTTCTGTCGCTGCCGTTCTAGCAAGGTTGGGGGGGAAAAACAAAACCAAACCAAACCACAACAAACAAATTAACATATCGCATCCGAGCCTTACGAACCAGTTCATCCTCCCACCTGCATCCCAGCCGACATCACGGGGCTGAACTTCCTCAGCTTTTTGAGTTGCTGAAATTGTTGGGTTGTTTTCTTCCTTTATTTTCTTTATTTTTTTTGCATTTACACCTGTAAATTTATGCATCGTTTTAATTTATGTAAGATTTCTTTTTTTCTTTTTTTTTTTTTGTACGTTGCCTTAATGTTCTCACACGACGGTAGGAAACCAAAATTTGTAAGTCATCCTCGAGTTGAGAAATTGTAACGCCCAACAACACATCATTTGTGTAAGGAAAATAAATACGGGAGAAAAAAAAAACACTGCAGTAAAGTCCACCCTGTGCTGTGTCTGCTGTGGGCTGGGGGTGTCCCCGAAAAGGGAGAGGGGGGCACACAGTGGGGTTGTCACCTGTGGGTGCTGAGCTGGAGCTCCTGGAAGCTGTTGATGAAGTGGGGGTGCTTTTTTGGGGCTGAGAAAGGGCTTTTTGGGTGCTGGGGAAGTGCTGGCAGAGCTGGTAAGGGGCTCCAGCAGTGGGGTGGGAGCCGCCAGCCCAGTGTGGGGCTGGCTGTGGGGCTGGGGGCTTTGGCTGCTCCAAAATTGGGGGGAGCAAAAGTTGTGGGGATGCCATGGCTCAGTGGCTTGGCCCTGTGGCTCATTTCTGGGGACAGAGGAACCCGTTAATTAATGAACCCACGTAAAGGCTAATTAATGAGCCCACCCAAGGCAGTGCTTGTCCCACCCTATGCCCTGCGCTGTGTCCTGGGCCCTGTCCCACCCCATGCCCTGTGCTGTCCC